AAACCACAACCGATTAGAGTCAGTATCATTCGGTGAGGCGAGACAGGGGCCAAGCTTGATACCTAGACTTCAAAACGAGTGAGACCATGCAGAAAGAACGGGCAAGGTAGTCTGTTGGACATGTCGGAATCAGCCTCTACAGAAGTTGCAAGTGAAGACCGCCCCCTCTCAACAGGTTGCACCTGAATCACATCTCGGCAATGGATGTCGGTACGATAAATGAGCAGGGCCACGTGGGGTCGCTCACTGTATTGTTCATAATCTACCCTCAAAAACCTGTCACGGGTTGCAAGAGGCTGTTTAAGCCTCTTCAGCTCTTTTCCCTTAATGTTGAAAGCTTGTCGAAACACAGTCGACCAGCTGGAATGCCACTTTTCCCTCCGGCGCGCTATGCCATGTAAAATATGTATCTCTCTCTCTCTTTCTCACACACACACACACACACACACTCAGTTCTTCCCGTACTGTGGAACCGAAAACCGCACTCATATGCTTTCCTCTAAGCTGAATCACCCTCGGATCCCTCCTCAAGGTCTTCGCCAGTACCCTTGAGAACTTCGGCCTCGGTCGTCGTCAGGCCCTTCCTAATGGCGAGGACGTTGTCCACGATGACTGCATCGATGCCTTCCTTCACCTGGCGCTGCAAGAAATAGTTAGCATCACTTTCCATCCGTATCACATGTCAGACCATGCAGACTTACCTGGACCATGATGGGGTTGTTGTTCAATGTACCGTAACTGACACACAGCAGACCGCTTTCCTTGACGACGCGCACCAGCCGGGGGCTGTTAATGAGCGGCTCGGCGGCACTGACAATACCAATCAAGTTCCATCGGCTAGCGAAACGAATCGCCTCTTGAAGAGAGGACGCTCTGATATCACCGACAGGGCAGGTGCCCGCATCCGTCAAGAACATGATGGGGATGGAAGGCTGCTTGAAAGTCAAGCAAAGACAAATGTCCGGATTGAAGGAGCTGAAGATAATGTGCCTGTTGCCAGCAAGATCATAGACCTTGGACAGTACAGTGTCACAGAAGGAGTTGAGCTCGACGGCGTAAGTATCCATCTCCTGCTCCTCGCTCTCGTGGAGCATGGGGTACTTCATCTCAATGTTGAAGCCGATGTGCTCGGGGAGCTGTCGGAACAAGTCCTCCAATGTGGCAAATGGAGCTTGAATGAAGTTGCCTCTGGAGTTGGCTTTGTAGCCCTTGTTCTTGAAGTCGCGAGTGTGCTTCATGCGCTCTTCGCTGTGTCCGTTGAGGCCATCACCAGCGTAGCCCATGGACAAAGACCGCTGTCTAGGGCCAGGTGCGTTGTTTCTCACGCGCTCGATTCTCTCATTGACTGCGTTGACACCGTTGTTGACACCATTGGTGCGGTTTGAGTCGGGGTTGATGTGCAAAAACTGCTCCAGGGTCAAGGTATGAACCGGGGCATCGATACCCGTCTCACTGACAAGGAAGTCATGGTAAATAACCGGGACATGGTCCTTGGTAAGCTGAACATCGAATTCGACGTACTGCGCACCTAGGTTGGCTGCTGCGATGAATGAAGGTACCGTGTTCTCTCCAAGCTGGAGAGACTTGTTGCTCGTCATGTTCTTACCCATGCCGCGGTGACCAATGACCATCGTTGAAGCTAGCTTCTTCCAGTAGGTCTGCTGGGAGTTGATTTCCATGTTGGGATGCGAGAATGGCGTGACAACCAGGAAGTTAAAGTTGACAGTGCCAATGACATCCAAGTTGTTGGCCAAAATCGGCACACAGACATCACCCTGGAGGTTCATGCGCTTAGTGCCAAGTGTCGGCCTGATGGAAGACAACAGGGCCACACCACGTCCAATCTTGTTCTTCTCGTTTCCAGAGTAAGTTGGGACAATGTCAAACATCAGCTTGACCTGGGAAGGGTCCGCCGAAGTGAAAACGATAGGCTCTGTGGAGATGGTCTCGTGTACAGGCAAGTCAACAATGGTGGGCTCTCCCTTGGCGCCAGTGGCCGACACGACAATAGACAAGGCGGTGTCGAGTTCGGTCAAGTGGGCCTCGGTCAAGGGAACGCGGTCGAGTTTGACGGCCTCGATATTCTTGCGCATATCCATGGATCCGAGACTGACGAGAACCATGCTCTGATCGGTAAGGTATCGATGACCAAAGGTTTTGACCGGCTCAACGGGACGAATAGCACCATTTGACTTGCGACCATCGATCGAAGACATGTTCTCGGGAGACGAGGATCGAGGGGAGCTCTCATTGGAAATCTTGAGATTATTCGTAGGCTGGACAATCTCAGACTCGGCTTGAGTGGCGATGAGCCTGGCAATGTCGAGATGACCACGCAGGGCAGCGTGTTCCTTGGCGGTCCAACCAGATGAGTCGGCCTTGGCGACAACCGCGCCAGAATCAACCAGCAGTTGTACTATCGACAAGTGACCGTCAACAGCGGCGACATGGAGCGGAGTCCAGGCGTAGGTGTTCTCTGCAATCTCAAGGTCGGCTTTCTGTTCGTCGGTGCCGGCAATCAGCGACTTTGCAATTTCATCGTGGCCGAATCGGGCGGCAAGGTGCAGAGCGGTTTCACCCGTCTTATCCTGCCAGTTGATGTCGACTCCAGCTTCAACGAGCATCTCGACAATGACCTTGTAGTTGGACTTGGTGGCCATAGCGAGAACTGCACCGGATTTGGATACCGTTCGTCTCATCTCGGCCTTCCTGACACTCACACCCTGCCAGTTTTCGCCCTGAAGAAGGGCCTTGGTGGTCAGTGGATGTCCACCCACGACACTCAGGTGCAAAGGAGCATATCCCTCATTATCCTGCCACTCGGGGGCATCGATGCCATTCTCAACGTTGAATTGACCCCACTCCTGCATCTTGGCCATGATGACCTGGCACACGACGACGAAGCCGAAACGGGCGGCATAGTGAAGCGGCAGGCGTCCAAAGGAGTCTCTGGCGGTGAGCGCATCTCTGTGCTCAGGCTTGAGAGTGTCGAGTAGGTACATGAGAATCTGGACAGCCTCGTCATCTTTGCCGAGCAGCTTCGTCTCGTTTTGATTGAGTGCGCGGGGAACCACAGCCTGCGAGACTGCAGGCTGGAGGTCGTGAGAAGTGAACTGAGTGCCGATCGGGAAAGGATACGACTTCGGCTCATTGTCGGGATCAGACGACTTGGTTCTGCCAATGTGAATGACAAGTCGGTGAATGCAGTTGCGGTGGTTGATGTCCTCGGGCTCATAAATGGACGGCAGCTGCTCGATAAGATAGGCGATGCTCGCCTTGGATCTCGCAGCAATGGAACGCTGCAGGAGGTTGAGAAGCAAGCTCTGAGAAGACTGCTCACCCGTCACGTTGCCCTCGTCCAGTCCGGCCTTGAGTGAGTCGACATTGTCGTTACGGATGGCCTGCTCTAGAGTATCGAGTAGGTTTTGCGACAAAGTCAACATGGCCTTGGATGATGCGCGGCCTAGAGACCGCACTGACCTGTCTGACTTGGAGTCGTCAACGTTGCGGGCGTCACCCAGAGCGGAGATCCATTTGTTAATCTCAGTGAGGAGGCGTGTGCTCGTGGTGTCCTTAGCAAACGGCAAGGGGTCGACTTTTGTCGAGATGTATCGGTGCTGGGAAGCCGTCTCGGGGAGCTTCTTGTCGAGCTTCTTTGTGATTTTGACGAAGCCTCTGCGGTTGATCTCGGCGAACCAATTGAGGTTTCTCAGCATGATGCGCATCTCGTAGAGAGCGCCCATGAGCTCCTCGGTCTCATCCTCGTCGAGGTTGGAGACGACGTCGGGAACGCGGCCATAGCGGTCGCGCAACAGACTGAGACGGCGGACGGCCTCGCCAAGCTTGCGGTTGTAGAAAGAGTCGACGTCTTCGAGATTACGATCCAGGGCAAAGAAGAATTCTGCAAGATGTGGTCAGGGGATGGGCTGCGCCCTCACGGTCCGGTCCAAGTCCGCCCACCTGCAAGATCCACCGTCTCTCCGTTCTTGGCCGATTGCGCCGCGGCCTTGATCAACTTCTTCAGGCCCTTGTAATTGATGTAGAAGGCCGCCCACTCGGGGACTTGGTTGCGGGGGAGACTGCAGACAGCGTAAGCATAATTTTCCATGAAATAACAAGGCGGTCAGGTAAAGTAAAGGCAAGGTCAAAAATAGCAGAGATATCGGTTTCTGTCGGGTGAAGCGGCAAGGGTGAGAGAGAGGGATGGGGAGGAAGGCGCACTTTCTGCCGAACTTCATGCTGAAATGATGTCTGAGTCCGTTATCAGGGATTGGATGTGACGCTGTGGCGTCGGTTGGTAGTGATACTGTCTAGGCGATACAGCTTTTGAAAGAATGCTGCGGCAACAGATAAGGTGCTGACGAGAAAATAAGACGACAAGAGTGAATGATGATGCTAAACGGCTGCTTAGAGGCAGATAGACTCGCAGCCGCAATCACACATTCTCTCTTTTTCTCAGTTCTCGTAGGTGGTCGTGATTTTGGCTGGGGGATAAGTTGATGACGGTCGGAGGTTTGTTGTAAGAGGTGAGGTGAGGTTGTGAATGCGGTGAGTTGGAGAAGGTGCCAAAGACTTGAAGAAGAAACGAATCCACGTCAGTGTACCGGAGAAGACTTGAGTTACAGAAGGCACTATCCGCTTCTTCTTTGTCGCGACACGAAAAGAGAGGATCCAGAAGTCGAGGTCGCTCAGTCAGTCAGTCACGAGAGTCCCGTCGGTTTTTCCAGGTTCAAGGAGCTCCACATCCAGCTCGCCATTGACTGAAAAAGGGCGGAGAAGCAGTGACTGAGATGGCGTATCCCGTACGGTATTTGGTATTTGTCCAATGACTGGCTTACCGAATACACCTCTACAGAATCCAAAGGGAAGAAGAATGAGAAAAAAAGATCTGGGCCCCCTTTAGGAGAGCATCAGTGGGTTGGAGGGGGATTATGTATGAATGAACCAGAACTTCAGACCGACCGGCGCAAGGAGAGAGTGGATTGACAAGTGACGGAAGCATGCAACAGTACTTCCAGGTCTGCACCTCTGGTACCTCAGCACTTCACCATACTGCAGCAGGACCTAGCACGAGCAGGACACCAGGAGAAAAGAAGAGGTGTGGGAGGTGTGAGCTCATCTCAACCTCCACAGCGGCCGCATGGTATCCGGGGCCTTGGCACGCCGTACCTCTTTGTCGGTCGTCAGGTACCCCACACGCCAGTTCGCGCTGTTGAGGGTACTGCCGAGCCCCGGCGCGACGACTCGAGACACGGTCGGGAGGTACCTGAGACACCCAAACCACCTTCCACCACCCAGCACCAGTCGCTTCTGAACGTGACGGCAGGCACGCAGGCACTCAGGCACAGCAAATGGCAATGGCAACCCAGCAAAAAACATACACAGTAAGGTTCCTTCCTGCCTTTGAAATGAGAGAAAGAACACTGTCCAAAACAGCTCGAGGTGTGGCGTTATCCGGTCGGTGAAGTCAGCCACTTGGAAGCCGCCGTTGACCGCCCGTGGAGCGCCGCCCCTGTTTGATTCGCCAAGTCACGGGATGCTCGCCCCACCACGGCTTCAGCTGGCCGGCCTGTCCATGATCACCCCGCCGTTGATGTAGCACCAACACTGGCTATCCCGTCCTTTTCTCTTCTCTTCCGCTGCCTGTAAAAGGTACAGTTGGGAAAGCTCACGTCACAGAGTGGAAGGAGGGATGAAAAGAGTCGCATGCTGACCTTGCTGGCTCAATTGATCATTTACACGTGTATGCCCTACCGACCGATGGTGGTGCACCGCAAGTGAGCCTGTACCGTTCACTAGTATCTCATAAACCAATTCTAATCACTTAGTGCACTGCACCGCGCTCCGCGCTCCCACCTCTGCGCAAGGTTAGGTACTTACTCCGTACTGTGTAGAGGTTGGCTCACTGGGCTGAAGGGCCTGAGGCGAGTCGGGGCCGCGTCCCGGGACACATCTCATCTCACATTCGAGCAGCCCTCCCGGCACGCCGGGTCAGATGGGCTGTCTAAAAATTCCAGACCGCCTCGCACGCTTGTCAGGTCGTCCGTCCTCATGACCTTTTCCTACCCCCGGAGGACTCGCCGAAGGCGGGAAGGACCCTGAAACCGACATCGGTATCTGTCCGGTCAAACTGCACGTTTTGGCCGCCGTTGGAAGAGAAAAGTGCACCCGCATGCTTCTAAACATACGTCCATACCTTTTTGCGCGCTGGCTCTATTACTGTGCGTACCTAGGAACGGGTACCCCTTGAGAGTCCTGACTCTTGCGCATACAAGTGACTGGTCCAAATTCATCGCGGCCCCAGGAATGACCTACACCAGACCCCACTCAGATCTGGTTCCGCGATGCATGTTCCAAGTTTTGGTTTTTTTTAGGGGTCCTGTCACCTGGTCACTTTGGCCAGGGCAGAAGACCTCGGCATCCCGGCATCCATTCCTCTGTTCGTACAGTTTGCAAAATATTGGTTGATAATGAGAGGAATTGGTGGCCTCTTGCTTGATACCAATTCGGCTCTCACGGAGCTGCTAAGTCACTTTACTGCTGACTAGCCAAAAAATTGTCAATGGCCCTCGCGGGTATAACGCCGATGGAACTCGAGTGACGACTGACCAGCAAGGGCCCAACGGCGATCCACGGGGAAGAAGTTACAATGTCACATTGGCCTGCTCATAAATTCCTTTCCTTTAGCTTTGCGCCTGTGCGACCAACTTGGGGAAGAGTCTTCAGCCTTTTTGCGTGAATCAAGAGTTGACAACTTATTACCAAAAGAGTACGGGGTAATAGCGCAACGGCCAAATAGGACCATTTTCACGCCCACCCTAACTAATTTAGACTCTCCAATTCCTGAGATCAATGGTTTTTTTCACACTTGCGGCTCAAAGCGTCTCTTGAACTGATATGGCCTTTTGCTTTCAAGTTCGTCCCTCTGACGAAGCCTCTACATCTCGGCGAATCAGTAGCCTCAACCAATCTCCAAATGAGGTAAAAGATACCTTTACTTGAACCCTCTTCCTACCCGATAGTTTCTCCTTTTGACTGTCACCCAAAGTCAGATCCAAGCAAGCTTGCTTCACGTGTTGTATCCGCATTCCTCTTTTGTTCTGTCCCCCGCCTCAAATTATATTACAATGATATCACTCGTGACTACCCCAACAAAGTCAATCCCGGTTTGCCAAACGCTCGGGGCCGCAACCCTCTTGCCGCGCAGTGTCAAAGACTTGCGACCGACATGTTACGATCTCATTCCTTGGCATCTCTTAAAATTCCCTTTCGGAAGCTTCCATGGCTCAGCTGTGATAATTGGGTCTCACCTGTCCAGGCACAGCAATGGTGGCGGCCGTGGAGGTGATGCTTTCCAGCCGTAGGGAACGAGGAGATCAATAGAAGCCGCACCAAGGATACAATACCTAACAAATACTCTACCTTACCGTGCAGAAACTAATCCGATTCATCGCCATCATAATCATAGTCACCATCGTCGTCGTCGTCTAGCGGAACCCGACGAGCCCAGTATGGATTCGTCTCAGCCATCGTCGCAATGCCCTCCTGCGCATCATCCAACACCTGCGCCGCCTTCGGCATCTCAACCCACGACGGCCGCGCGTAAATACACTTGACCTCCATCTCATCGCCAGTGTGCTCGGGATTATCGTACACCGCCCGCGCCAGCTCCCGGATCTGCCTCTTGAGCCCGCACACCAGCGGCGACGCCGTCGCACGGTAGAGGAACCTTCTTTATATCAACGATGCAGTGCGGTCGTCCTTATTTGAATTGCTTGATATTTTGATGTACATGAGCCCCCTTCTATCAGGGGCATCTGACAGCTGGGTTTTGGCCTAGGCCCTCTATTCTATCCATCAATTTGGCCTTGGCATATACGTGCCATATAACCATAATGTTACATGTGTGGTATAGTACATATCTACAGAATTTCGATCGTTTCAAAAACCTCGTCGATGGTGGTTTTGTTTTCGTGCTTCGTGTTCTTCGGTTTCGTCTCCGCCGCCTGTTCAAGGCGATCCCATGCGGACAATTGACCCTGATTCTCTGAAAGAGTGTTGCTTTTACTCATGGTTTTCTGCGCCAGCTGTGCTTCTGACGCTTCCTCCAGCCGGTTCCACGCAGACCAGTCGACCTCTTCCTCCTGCGAGAAGGACGTCCCGGGCTGGTCTTCCGGAAGACCCTCGGGCACTGGCCAAACCAACTTCGTCGCTCTCCACATCCTGTACATCTGCGGAGAGCCCGAATCAATGCGAATGGTACTGGCGCTACCCGTTTTCACGCGCTGAACGTAGTCGCGCGCGCTTTTCAACAACCACTCCGTTTGGTGTACAGTGTGGGCTATTCGTGCGATATAAACTACACGTTTCTGCTCCTCGCTCGACACAATCGAGAACATAGGATCTTTCAGGAATGGTGCCACGCTGTTTGGCAAGCTGTGTTCCAAGCCGCAAATATCCAGTAGGCTCCGTATGCGCCGCGCAAGATATAGCTTGTCGTTCTCTCGAAAGAATGCTCGCTTGATCAGCGCGGGGTTGCTTTTCAGTATTTCCAAAAGCTTGGCTGCAGCTGTGCGATCTAGGGAGCGGGCGCAATAATCGAGCAGCTCGGAGGTCGTCCGCGAGCTAATCAGGAGGTCTGCCGTGATGCTCGCCGCAAATGCACCCACGGCAGCCCTCAGTCTGTCGAAAGCCAACATGCCTTCGATGATGGTGGCAAAGATTTTTTCATCAAAACGAGCCCTCTCGACGACGTAATGGGAGCCGACTGCGACATCTTTCGTTTTAGCCCAACCGTGAAGGGAGAAAAACTCCGCCACATCATCGTGCCTCTTTCTCCGGATTTTGACGCCTCGTTGGTCTTTGCCAGTCATGCGAGCGATGAAACCCGAAAAGTTGTCTGCGTCCTTTATCGTTCTGTAGTGATTCAGGATGCACACCAGGGTAAGCTGCGTGGGCTCGAGCTTGCCCTGGTAGAAAGAGAGGACCACTGCTGAAGCAAGGCGATGCATCCCAACTCTGTCCAGGCCCGCAATAAGATGGTTGTATGTGTGGATGGTGAGGGATGAAGGCGATACGAGGAGATTGTGACATACACTGTAAATCGTATGTTGAAAGTTCTCAGGAGTCGAGGCGTCAAAAACACTCCTCAACGCCTTGTTCAGCTCCCGGCTCCACGTGTTCAGAGCCTCGTTGCTCAGTTCGCTTTCATCCCAGATAGGGAACTTCTTCCGTATCAGCTTGTCTACCTCCTCTCGCGCCGTTTGCATTCCTTCGCGTCCAACCATAGATTCGCCTGCGTCGAGAAATCTGTAGACCAAAGCTTTCGTTGCCACCGCTGCCGCCTTGGCTTGCCTCGGCGTCCGCGGTGCGCGGTGCTCAATAGGCATCCACTCTTCTGTCGCGAGCTTCTTAATCAAGGCTTCGTAATTGACCCCTCTGACTTCGTTCGAAGGACTCAGCTCGTATATCTTCCATAAACGGTCCACGTCGGCCTTTGTCGCAACAGTTCTCTGCCACCTATATGAGGGCCCGAGGGCGTCGAGAATCTTGCTGACTTCGGGGTTTTGTGGAACGTGATCTTGTAATGCGCCCGGATACCGGTTGCCAACGTCACCAGCAGGTGGTTTCTTAGGAGCTTTCTCCTTTGCTTTTTCGACAAGATTTGCCAGCTCGCTCGAGACCTCTTCAATTTGTCGGTCCAAATCCTTTCGCCGCCTGTCTTTCCTCCCTGCATCCAGCATCGCAGCCGTTCCCATTATCGATGTGTAGCACGCCGTGAAGATCTCGCTAAAGGTCGGTTTTCGTTGCGTCGAGCGCGTCGCCGACTGCCGTATCATGCCCCCGGAGGCATTAAAGCAGGCCTTGCAGCCGCATCGGTGCGCCTGGCCCGCTCTAGACCAGATTGCCTGCATTCTGACGGCATGCCGGCTATTGTGGCAGCCTCTCCGAGTCGAATTGATGCGTTGACGTGCGACGAGGCGTCGAGGGTGGTTGAAATGGTCGGTACGTTCCAGGCGCGGAAATTATCGTCTGATGCACAACTACTGACGATCGACTTAGCTTGGCCGAGATGACGGGTCCAATTGACAATGGCCGATTGAAAATGTAGATAGACGTTATGCGATTAAGTGATTATTGCGGCTAAAAGGTGTACTCGCTTATAGAAATGGCACAGCTGCCCCTCCATGAGGTAACCCCACCATGACTTTACAGC